CTACCCCGAAGCTGAAGCCTGACTGTGGTGTCTGACAAATTGGAAGTTATAACTCCTGTCTTTGAGAGTATCCTCCATTCTTCAGCCGAGACTGGCTGCTCCATGCGCCTGCTGCTGGAGTCCCCTCAGCCACGCCGGGGACCTCAGGTCCTCATGCACCCCCCACTGACTGAGGCTCAGGCAAGCAGGGCTGGCTGAGGTGCAGACAAGCCTTGGATGGAGGCTGCCCAGCTGCCCAGGGCTGGCCAAAGCTTGCATTGCTGGCAGTGGCAGCAGAGGTGTGATGAGGTGTCGCCTTCCCCGGGTTGCCTCTCACTCCTGAGAGCTCCCAGACTGTGAGGGGGTGGCAGGTTGGGCTGAGGGGCCCCCCCTCCCCCAACAATGCATGAATTTTCATGTACCTGGCTGCACCCGAGACTCCAGAGCGGGCAGCGCCATGCAATTTCAAATGGCATGCGGAGCTCCTAGTATTTATATAAATTTTAACTAATTTCCTATCTTTTTTTCCACCCAGAATTGTATTAAAAAGTCTATCATTTCTTAGCCCTTAGGATCTTGAAGTGGTAGACGTTACGTCTCATCTAAATCAGCTTAATTGTAAACTACAAAAGAAAGGAAACACAATTTTTTCGATGTTAGAAAAAGTTATTTCATCCGAAAACAAATTATCTCTTTTTGCTCAAGATTTTGAAAGAGAAACTTTGATTCACTTTCCAAGCCTGTTAAAACATCGCCAAGAAAATAATTCTGATATTGACATTTCTATTTCAAAGCAACACGTTTAAATATGAGGGATATTTTCTCAACAGATTTCAGGAATTCAGAAAGAGCTAAGTGACGTTAGCCTGTGCTAAAAAACCTCTTTAAAAAAAAAATATTTTATTGATTTTATACAGAGAAGAAGGGAGAGAGAGAGTTAGAAACATTGATGAGAGAGAGTCACCGATCAGCTGCCTCTTGCACACCCCCCACTGGGGATATGCCCGCAATATGCCTGCTTAAGTAGAAGTAGGTGGGCATCCCCTTGACCAGAATGTCCTTGACCAGAATCAAACCCGGGACCCTTCAGTCCCCAAGCCAACGCTCCATCCATTGAGCCAAACCGGTCCTGGCTAAAAAAAACCCCTTAATGCTACTGTAACAGAATTAAAATTTTCTCCCTTTAATATTGACATTAGCAACTTTGAAATGCAATTGCTGGATTTAAAAAACAAAGAATTGTGGAGCTTGAAATTGAAACGTTTTTGTGCTGATATGAAAATATTGGAGAAAAACAAATGTGAACTTAGTTCACAGCACAAGTGGTCTGGTTTGAAAGACCTGGAGAAGGAAGATATGTTGATTTTTAACACCTGGAATAGTATTCCTGATTCATATAATTAACTGAAAAAACTAGCGTTTGCTGTTTTTCACTTATTCGGATCTACATATTTTTGCGAACAATCATTTTCAAGCGTGAACCTTATCAAGAGAAAATTGAGAAGTCATCTTATTGATGAGAAGCTGGAATCGTGCCTAAAATTAAAAACAACAACATACAAACCTGACTTCCTCAAACTTTCCAAGGAGATGCAAGGCCATTGTTCACATTAGTGTTTGTTAGTGATTGTCATGATTTAATTTTATGGATATTGTAAGGAATTTAATTTTATCAATAAACATCGTTATTAAGTATGATATCAAGTTTTATTCAACGTACATATAGTTTAACTAAAGGTATGTTAAGAAGGTTTGGACATATAGAGAGGATGAACGAAAGGAGATAGACGAAACAAGTATATGAGACCAGTGTGTTTGGGATAGTTAGAAGGGGTCTACCTAAGCGACTGTACCTCAATCAGATTGAGGACGTTTTTTAGCAAAGGCCAGCTTAGGAGTACCCTAATTAAGTTAATAACAGTGTACCTACCTATATAGTTTAAGTTTAAAAAATTTGACAATCAAAAGAAATTTCAATCATTGTACTGTTGATATTTGGCTCTGCTGACTAATGAGTTTGCTGACCACTGAACTAGAGCTATATAGAACAACATAGATAAAAATCACACAGTCTTTAAGAAACTAAGACAAGAGTATTGACTGTATGATTCCATTTATATAAGTTTTTTTTTTTTTTTTTTTTAAGTACAAGGAAAATCTATGGTGATAGAAGAATAATGGTTCCTTTGAGGGGTAGTGACTGAGAAGGATATAAGGAGGGACCTCTGGTGTATTAGTCATATTATATTTCTTGGTGATGGTGGTGGGGTTACTTGGTAACAATTCATTGAGCTGCACTTTGTGATTTGTATCCTTTTACGTGAATCCTCTACTTCAGTGTTTCCCAAACTTCTCTCATGATGAGAATCACCTGGTGGAATTGTTAAAATACAGATTCCTGAATCCCAACTAAGAAGTGCTAAACTGGAATTTTGGGGAACATATAGGTAAAACTGTATACTTAACTTAGTGCTCTGAGAGAAGTTTGGGAAACACTGCTCTACTTCATTGGAAAATGCACTTAAAAACAAAAGACCGGGAATGACTGAAAGGGTGATGAAGGAAAAAGCTCCGTAAGAAATTGAAAATAAAAACAAAAAAACTGAAGCTGCTGGTTCTGCAGAACCCCCTTTTATATGTATAAGATTGGCTACTACGTTACAGAGAGGTGAAATAACCTAAATCATATTATCTAAAAATAATAAAACTAATTAGTGGTGGCCTAGGGATTGGAATTCAGGTTTTCTAATTTCAGTGTTCTCAAATTCTTATAGAAGTGTTTCATTGCCAAAACCGGCTTGGCTCAGTGGATAGAGCATCAGCCTGCGGACTGAAAGGTCCCAGGTTCGATTCTGGTCAAGGGCATGTATCTTGGTTTCCTGCACATCCGCAGTGGGGGGTGTGCAGGAGGCAGCTGATCGATGTTTCTCTCTCATCAATGTTTCTAACTCTCTATCCCTCTCTCTTTCTCTCTGTGAAAAATCAATAAAATATATTTTTTAAAAAATGTTTCATAGAGGAATCCTTGTCATACAGGCGCTCATTACCCTGATTCCCAAAGTACTGAGGTCAGAAGGGTAAGCAAAAATAGTCACCACACAAAAATATTCACACAAAAAACAAAGACACATATGAAATCGGTCCCCCCTCAAACATTCCTTCTCTGGCCAAACCAGCTTCTATTCCTGCCAATCCCTATCAACTGCCCTTGTCAGTCATTCTTGGCGAGTCTCTCCTGCGTTATGGTGTTAAATAGAACAACACAAGGGCAATGTAAACCCACTGCAAAACGAACCTCCACGTCTTACAAAAGATGCAGGACTCCACGAAGTTGGGAAAAGTGCTACTGGAGATCTGCTGGACTTACAGGCAAAGCCATGGACAAAAGGAGGACCCAGCAGATTCTTCTTCACCCCCGTAGAAGAAATGTCACCCAGCATCCATTTCCCCTTCCTACTCAGTACAGAATCCTGATTTTTTTTCAGTAACTGTATTTATATTTTGACAGTAGACAAACAGATGTTAATACAGCCCAAAAGCCAAATCTACGTGATGCATATAAATCCATTTTAAAACCCAAGGAGCTAAATTATACAATCTCAGGCAATCCCCTCTCCTCAAGCATACTATAACCCACGGGCACCTTGTCTATGCAAGAAATGAGGCAATGCTTTATAACGCTACAGGCCACGGATGAAAGCGCATTATCTGAAGGCGTGGGAAGGCTGGTGGTGTACAACCACCGTAGTTAAATGCACCAGGAATTTGAAGTCGGTGGTGCTGTAAACATAAAATGGTGGTATGGTCACCATGAAAGCAACATGAATGTATACACAAACATAGATACATAAAGTTACATAAAATATTGAATCCAGGCATTCACAGCTCTTTCAGAACAAAAGGCTAGGAAAGACGGAAAGGCATTCCCACAGAGGATCTACTGCATTCATGCACGACACCGGGGGCGGATGAACAAAGACAGGATCCCGTCGGTCAGAATTCCCTTAAAGAAACCAAAGCTAATATCTTCATAAGGATCTTACATTCCTCTACTGCCATTCCCATTCCCATCAGAACCACTAGCTAAGCAAACCAGGCCTGGCAGGTACCCCTAACAACCTGCTTTTGTCTTTTTGAAAAACTGGGCCTGGCTCACAACACCGGAACATTCTTACACGTCTCTCCTTAGACTCCCATTTTCTATCAAGTTTACAGAATCAAAAAGTAACCAAGTGATTTTCCTTTTTATGCTCTACTGGTATAAGAGTTAAGAAAAACACACACACAAAAAACCCCACAAAACTTCTCTAGCCTACATTCTCTGGCGTATTAAAATCGGTTCTTTTCACAACCCACCTTTCGCCGACGCGTGGAGACTTTCCCCAATGCGCCTCCTACTACCCGAGACAGAACAAAGAGCCCGTCATCACGGCGGAGGCGCACGGGGCCTTTAAAAGGCAGCAGCCCGGCTTGGATCCATGGCTGTTTCTGCTCGAAATTAACATGTAGGGGAGGGGGCGGGGATGCTTGTTTGAGAGGATCTAGATTTTCAGGCCAGGCGATGCTTCTCTCCCCTCTTCGGGGGGCTTCTGGTTGGGCTGTGCCATGGGGCTTCTGCGCCCCCCCCCCATCTCTTGACACCTTACACCGCTCCTGCGCGGCTCGCCGAGGAGGGATGGATCCTCGCCTTCCCAGGCCATATAACTACTAGGGCCGAGCTGCTAGACCACCACACGGGACTCCGAACGCCAGCCCGGGGAGTCTCCCACGGACCCGACCTGGGAGCCAGGGCATCGACAGACGAGGCGGCGGCGGCACGCTTGCTCCACAACAGTGTAAAGCGACCCTCCGCCAACAGCAGCTGGCTGGCGTGAACATGGGAGGAAGGGGGAGGACGGAGGAAGAGGAGGGGTCTGGGTCCACAGGGCGCGGATTCCGGCCCAGGGAGCCAGGGATCAGAGTCCGGACCCCGCCGCCCCCTCCCCGCGCCCCGCCGTGCGCCAATCCCTCCCTGGCGGTACCTGTTTCCGCATGTTATTCATGACGCCCATGAAGCCCGCCAGCAATTTGGCTTCTTCTCGAGCAGCAAGCTTCTTCTCAGTCTTCTTCTTGCAGCTTTTCTCCACCGCGGAGGTTGCCATCCTCGGTTCAGCTCGGTGCGCGCCGGGGGGCTGCACGCTCCGGGCGCGCGGGGGCTGCTGTTTACACCGAGCTCCGCAGCTGGCACTGCGGCGGCGGCGGCGCCCGGCTCCGTGCGCGCGGGCGGGCGGCGGAGGCGCGGCCGCTGCGGCACCGCGAGGCCTGGAGGCCGGCTCAGGAGGCGCCGGGGAGGCTCCGCCGCGGGACCGGCCGCCTTCCAAGCAGACCCGGGCCGGCAGGGAGCTGGCGCAGTGCGCGGAGGGCCGGGCGCTCTGGAGGCGCAGGGGGAGGGGCTGCGTCACGGCGGCGCGCCGCGGGCCCGGGCACGTCCTTCCCTGCGCGCTGGGCAGCCGCGGTCCCGGCCCGGAGCCGGGCGCAGGCCAGAAGGGGCGGGTACTTTCCCCTTGGTCCATGAAATGTATATGTATATGTATATGTATATGTATATGTATATGTATATGTATATGTATATGTATGTGTATGTGTATGTGTATGTGTATGTGTATGTGTATGTGTATGTGTGTGCGTATATATGTGTGTATGTATATATGTATATATATGTATAAATGTAATTATATGTATTTATAAATTTATATTACATGGCAAGATGATACTTTTTTTTTTATAATTGGGCGGCTGACTACATTAAAGTATCTCCGATTAGTGTCATCTCCATTGGGACAGGATTGGTGTTTTCTTCCCTGCACTGTTAGAGGTTGGCATATCGTAGGCGCTGAGCAAGTTATCACTTTGCTGCAAGTTATAGGCTTATAACACGGAGTTATTTATTCATCCATTTCTTTAAAAATAATACATTTTATTGATTTTTCATAGGGTGGAAAGGGAAAGGGATAGAGAGAAACATGGATGGGAGAGAAACATCCATCAGCTGCCTCCTGCACACCTCCCACTAGGGATGTGCCTGCAACCAAGGTACATGCCCTTGACTGGAATCGAACCTGGGACCCTCCAATCCACAGACCGAGGCTCTATCCTCTGAGCCAAACCGGTTAGGGCCATTCCTTTCTTATTAGTTGACATTTAAGTTGTTTAGACTTTTTCTATTATCAAAAGATTGCTATGAACATGCGATCCTTTTTTTTTTTTTTTTTTTTTTTACCTCCTTGTAAAACTGGAAATGTTGGCGTTCATGCTGCCCGTCACTACCAGAACAAGTAAATAGAGTCAAGCATTGGATTTTTATGGGTGCTTTCATTCACATGGCTGGCGATCGGGAAGACGGTGTGTTATCCCAAAAGACCGTCTTATCTCTCATCTCAAGCTGGCCTTTTCATGAGGAGAGAAGTGCAGATAAAGGGTTTGAAATTCAGGAGAAATTAGGTAAAGGGTCTGGGATTTAAGGGAAAAGTTTAATCAGATAAAGCTGCAGCCTGATGATTTTCCAAGCAACCCTTCATCGGCGGACTGGTGATTCCTGATCTGAATCCTGGGAGTCTGACATCTCTCCCCAGAACACAATGGTTCAGACACTGCCTTGGTCTCCCACAGTCCTCCTGGGACACAAAGGTCGAATTGCTTGTGGGTCTCCCGAAGTCAGGGTAGGTCCAGTCATACATTTCAGTCCCTGGAACAATAGTCTTCTACATGCATTAATTACCAAGACTATTAACTATATAACTAAAATGAAACATTTTTAACTTCTTGATTTCCCCATTATTCCCCACTATTAGCCTATCTTGTTTCGATTAGATTAGTTTCACTTGGGGAAAAAAAAAAGATTAGTTCCATATGGAAGTAATCATTTTGCTGTTGAGCATGTATCTTAGCATTAGTCTTGTAGGGGATTTGGGAATACACTTAAAGGAGCACATTGTATGCAACAACAAGCTATGATACTGAAAAAGATGAAAAGAATGAAAACAAATGCCTCCCTAAGACCAGTAACACTAAATAGCCAGGAGGTTAGTGGTCGGCAAACTCATTAATCAACAGAGCTCGCATGCGGCTTGCGAGCCGTGGTTTGCCGACCACAGGATTAGACACATCAATACCAAAGAATCCCTTTCTTCGCTTTATCATTTACTTGATTTACTTTCTGCTCTTTGAGCTGTGAATTATCCGTCAGGTTGAAACAGCAGAGTTCTTTAAATTCTTCACATCCGTGACTTTGTCTTAAAAGGAGGTCGTCTATAGCTGCCTGGTTTTCTATTAACACTTCCCTAACTTGTCCTCGTTCTTGACTGATACTGATGGCACTAAAGGCTTGAGGGGTGGCATTCAAAGCCTTCACCACAGTGCGGGCTGATGTATAATACTTATTTCTGTATTCAAAGAGGTTACCATGACCGGCATTACACATGAAGATATATTCATTGGGGCAAGAAAGGAGCAAATCACTGTTACAATCAGGTGCAAGGGAGAGCACCTGTGGAGCCCATCAGTCTTCCTAGAGAACATGGTCCCCTGGGACTGGTTGCTGAAACAGAGGAATAGACAGTCCTTCTGTTAGAGAAGACCAGAGAAGAACCAAGCAATACTTAGAGAGATGGAGTTACACTTTATCATTATCACATGCACGGGTCAAGAGAAAACTGTATTTCAAATTCTGGGTCCCAACATGAAGGAACTTTCCCTATTTATATTTTTTTTTACCTTCTTTATCTCCCAAATATGTTTTTTTTTTTTTTCTGGTCCCCTTTGCAAATTTTAAAGAGCCCCATGAGCTAGGGCTTTGAGACCTCAACCAAAGGCTTAGACTGGCACCAGCACTGATAATTTCCTCTGGGAAGGTTTAATGGCCTCTCTGAAGTGGGAGTAGTCTTATTTTCCTTATTATTTAAGCAAGCCAGCATTTACAGAAGCCAAAATAACAGTTAAAATTTCAAACAGCAGTTTTTATATAAGATGGATGCTTCACTTCCATATATTAGAAACAATCCTGAAGGCAATTTGACGTGACCAAAGGCCTGAGATACATTAGTGGTGGTGTTGCAATTTATCTCACACCTGCTGAAAGCTTAAAACAGTTCTTAGTACAGTTGACAAAAGTTGCACAATCCTCACTATATTAGTAACTTTTAAGGAAAACATTCCCTGTCCTTTAGAGTTACCACAGGTCTCCAGTATAAATATCAGGCCCATATTGTTTTTTTTTAGTTTTTTTTTTAGCTTTTCTAAACTTCAAAAGACCTCCATTGGCTCCTTTTGTGAAGATAACGGATCACTCACCTAGAGGGAAGAGTTCCCAGTGGACAAAGGAAGGTGGTAACAAACTTGGATACATTGATATCAGATTTTTTTTGTATCCTTCCACTCAAGGATATTTTTCCATTGATTTTCTACAGAATGGAAGGAAGGGAGACAGACAGAGAGAGAGAAAAATTGATGTGAAAGAGACACATGCAAATGAGGTACATGTCCTCAACTGGAATTGAACCTCGACTGGAATATGATCCTAGTCCTTGCTGGTTTGACTCAGTGGGCCAATGCTCTATTCATTGAGCCAAACCAGTGAGGGCTAGGATCAGATTTTAAAAAGGAGCTTTATGACGGGCAAAAGGCAATATTTTAGTGTTATTTTTTAAATATATTTTATTGATTTTTTTTTTTTACAGAGAGGAAGGGAGAAGGAGAGAGTTAGAAACATTGATGAGAGAGAAATATCAATCAGTTGCCTCCTGCACCCCCCCCCCACTGGGGATGTTCCCACAACCAGAATTGAACCCAGGACCCCTGAGTCCGCAGGCTGACACTATCCACTGAGCCAAACCTGTTAGGGCATTTCAGTGTTATTTTTAAAATGCCTAATGAGGCTGCGCATGTTTTCATATGTTTATTGGCCATTGGTGAATTGCCTGCTTGTGTCCTTTGTTCTTTTTTCTTTTGAACCCCCCCTTATTGATTTGTAAGTATTCTCTCTCTCTCTCTCTCTCTCTCTCTCTCTCTCTCTATCTATCTATATATATATATATTATTGATTTTTTACAGAGAGGAAGGGAGAGATATAGAGAACTAGAAAACGTCGATGAGAGAGAAACATCGACCAGCTGCCTCTTGCACACCCCCTACTGAGGATGTGCCCGCAACTCAGGTACATGCCCTTGACCGGAATCGAACCTGGGACTTTTCAGTCCACAGACGGACGCTCTACCACTGAGCCAAACCGGTTTCGGCGTAAGTATTCTTTCTTGAGGCAGGTTTTAGGCAAGCTGAGTTTTAGGTAATATATGTGTGAAAAATGTCCAGTAAGCATTGAAAACTCAGGATGAGGCCTCCAAGAAAAGAATATAAATGAGCAAAAGCATATTACTGATTCATAGCTCAAGGGATCCAGCAGAGGCAAACCAGTATTCAGAGTGACCCAGAAAAACATGTCCTCATGTGACCCTCAGCGGCCAACGTTCTTTTACTACACAGTTTAGTGTGGCCTGCATGCCTGCAGGGAGTCCGGTCTTTTTTGAGTTTTACTCCCCGAGAAGTCCCAGGGGTGTTGATTCATGTGCAGATGTTTGTTCATCTAGCTATTATTTTTTTCTCTCAGCAAGTCCAAAACTCAGTGTGCCCCCTTGAGGCGAGAGGATGCCACAGAGCCGTCCGGATGCTGTTAACTCCAGAATGCGCTACCGATGCAGTGTTGACCAAGACACTCCGTACACTGCCTCCTGAAACCTGAGCCCGGGCCAGGCCATGTTCCCATTTGCCCGCTGACCATGTGCACGATCGCCTCTACTGCCGAAGCCGAACCTCAGGATGGCCAAGCAAACCGCCATGGCTCCAATTGTGCCACATCGGGATGTTGCAGATCCCAACCCCGGTTACGATTGCTCCTATAGTACAGAAGGGAAATGCACAATGTGTTGTCAAAGGGTCTACATAAAATGTGCCCGAGCCTTATCACCTTCAAACCCGTGTGACTCACACTCACTCCTCGGAGGCCCCTGCCTGCCTCTGGGTGGCTGTGTTGGGGGCAGGTCCACTAACGAATCCAGGTTTCAGGATTCAGGTTTCCTAGTTGATTGCTTCACCTATCTCTACCCGTCCT